CCCCGCGCCCTCAGGGCACACCGGGCGAGGCGGCGGCGGCGGCACCGGGAGCGGGCGGCGGCGGGCCTACCTGTGTGGGTGAGGCGAAGGTGAAGGCCATGGCAGCGGGGCCGGCGGCGGGATCGGCGTAGCCGCGGGCGGGGGGCAGCGGCAGCGAGGGGCGGGCGAGGCGGAGGAAGCGGCGGGCGCAGAACATCGCGGCCATGGCGGCGGCGGCGGCGCGGGGCAGGCCGGGACGGCACCGGACCACAGCTCCCGACGCACCCCGCGCGCCGCCCGGCGGAGGAAAAGCGCGCTGCGCCGCGTGGCCTTATGGGAATTGTAGTCTTTCCCCGCTGTCAGTGTCGCGGTGCGGGGCGGGGGGCAGGCGAGCCCCCGGGCCCGGTGCGGCCGTGCCCCGGCGGCTCGGGGTGCTCCGGGGCAGGGAGGTGCGGCAGGGATGCGGGCAGGGCTGTGGGACAGGCAGGGATGCAGGCAGGGATCCAAGGAGGGCTGGTGCAGGCAGGGATGCATGCAGGGCTGGGGGATGCAGGGATGCAGGCAGGGATCCGAGGAGGGCTGGTGCACGCAGGGGTGCAGGCAGGGATGCAGGCAGGGATGCACGCAGGGATGCAGGCAGGGATGCAGGCAGGGGTGGCGCGGGCAGCACTGGCACAGACGGCTGTGAGGGCAGGAGTGGAGGCAGGGCTGCTGTCGGCAGTGGTGCAGGCAGGGATGCAAGCAGGAGCGCTGTCAGGGCTGCAGCGGGCAGCGGTGCAGTCAGGGCTGGGCAGGCAGCGATAAAAGCAGCGGGAAGGGGGCAGGCAGGGCTCAGAGCTGTGGGGCAGGCAGAGGGGCAGGGGGTACGGGCAGGGCTGGGGCAGCCCCGGTCCCCACGTGACGCCCGCGCCGCGCGGGGGCGGCTCCGGTTCATTCATAAATCCCGGGGCCGCCCCGCCGCACCGAGCGCAGCGGCGGCGATGGAGCCCCGGTCTCGGTTGTAGGTGAGTGTCTGGCTCCGCCGCCTCGCGACAGCCCCTATCGCGACACAGGGAGCCGGCCCGGCCGAGGGGAGACCGTCCCGGTGGAGGTCCCGGGGGCTCCTGCCTCGCTGTCACCAGCCCTGTCACCAGCTCCGCCTGCATCCCTTATTCCTGCCTGTCCCACATCCCTGCTCGCATCCCTCACATCGCTCATCCTCCATCCCTGCCCCACATTCCTGCCCGCATCCCGCATCCCTGCCTGCATCCCGCATCCCTGCCCGCATCCCCGCCCCACATCCCTGCCTGCATCCCCGCCACCGGGCTGGGGCGCGGGGCTGCAGTCTCAGGGGGCACAGCGGGTCCCCCCCGCGCCCCCAGCCCAGCCCCGCTCCAGCCGGACCCCGTGGGTCGCACACACGCGTGGGGCGCGGCCCCGGCCCGCCCCCCGCACCCCTTCCCACGTGCGGGGGCGCGGCACCGCCGGCATCCCCCGACCCCGAGCCCCCGCCCCGGGCACTGGCGGCGACCGCGGGTCCCGCCCCGTGTCCCCCCCGGGGGGGACAGCCCGGGGACCGGCCCCCTCCTCCAGACAATGGCCGTCCTGTTCCTGTCGGGTCGCCATGGAGACGGGATTCCTCCATGATGGGGAACAGGAGGGATATTCTTCCCGCTCCCCCCGGCCCCCCCGCCTCGGGCCTGGGGGTGCCCCGCAGGGATCCCCCCCGTGGGGCGCCCACCCCACGCGGAGCCGCAGCCCCCTCGCCAGGGGTCCCCCCATGAGGTGGGAAGCGGGACCCCCCCACCCCTTTACCCTTTCTCGGGGGTCTCGGGGTGGGTGCCCTCACCTCGTGCTGCATCCCACCAGCTTGGAGAGGCGTGGGGGCCGGCGCGGGCAGGGGGTTCTCTGCCTCGGGAGGCCCCCCACACCCCGATATCCCTGCAAGGGCTTGATACCCCGACCTGTGCCAGGACTGCCCTCAGCCATCGCTGTCCCTCACTGCCAGCTGCGCCACGGCCACCCCTGCGCTGTCCCCACGAGTGACAGTCCCCACCCCTTCACGGGCTCCATTCACATTTTTCACTGACCTAATTCTGAGCGGCTTCCAAGTGCCCACCCCTGCCCGCCCCGGGGGTCCCCGACACCGCATCGCCCACCCAGCCCCGGCTCAGCCCCCTCGGCAGCCTGGGGACACATGGAGGGACACACGGAGGGACACACGGAGGGGACACACGGCCTCGCAGCGGGAGCCGGAGCTCGGAAGCCCCCGGGAAGGGCCAGACCCGCGGCAGGGTGATGATGTCCCCGCCGGGTCCCCAAAAGGCGCAGGGCCGATGGCGGAGGAGGGGAGCGGGACCCCGGTCCCGGCGGCTCTCGCTCCTCAGGAGCTCGGCGCGGCCCCCCCGGCCCCTCGGTGTCCCCCCCGCGCGGACAGCCCGGTGACGGAGCCGCTCTCGGGATGACTCACGAGCGTCACCTGTCGCGCTCCGGCGACACCCACGCCACGAGCCGTGGGGCGGCCACCTGCCCCCCGTCCCTGCCGGGAGCCCCCAGCGCAGCTCCCTCCGAGGGCAGGGGGTCTCCCCCGGCGGCGGGGCTGCGGCTGCCTTTGGCCCCCGGGGACGGCAGCGCGGTGTCACCCCGGATCTGGGGCAGGGATTTCGCCCCCCCGGCCAGCTCTGGCCACCGTTTTGGGGGGGTTCCGGTCCCAGCTCGGCGTGGGGACGGTGGCCGCTCTTGGCGGGGCCGGGGTTTGTGCCCACGCGAGTCCGGGGGCTGTACCCGGAGGGGGTGAGGGGCTCCCTGGGGAGGGGCAGCGGTTCTGCCCTCTCCTCCCCATCCCTCCATCCGTCCATCCCTGCTTCGCTCCTGACCACACCCTCCATCCCTTCATCCTTCCCCTGAGCACACCCTCCCTTCATCCCTCCATCCCGGTCCCTCCCTCCATCTCTCCATCCCGGTCCCTCCCTCCCGGTCCCTCCCGGCAGCTCCGCACCGCGGTGCCGGGCAGGGGCCGGGCAGGAGCCGCCGCCGCCGCCGCCGGCCCGGCCCCGCCGTCCCGGCCGGTGCCTCCCTCTGTCTCCCCCCGCCCCAGGACACGCTCGGGCCGGGACAGACCATGAGCGATGACCCAACACCCTGGGACAACGCGACCGAGAGCGCCACGGTGAGTCCTGCCGGTCCCTGCCTGTCCCTGCCTGCCCCTCCCCGAGCCGCCAGCCCCGGGGTCCCGCGGGAGGGGGGGATGCATGCCCGGAGCCGTGGGCTTCTTGTGGCTGCCGTGGGGCTGCCGTCTTCGCTCGGGTGGGGACGGCAGCAGCGCCGCTGTCACCCCCCGCTCTGCCGGTCTGGGAGTGGGTGACAGTTCTGTGCCCTGCGCTCTGCTGGGATGCTCCGGGGGTCCGGGGGCCTGGGCGCGGATCAGCCCCTCTCCCCCCGGGCAGGGGAGCGAGCACCGAGCCCCGCGGTGGGGCAGGGTTGGGGGTCCTGTCGCCGTCCCCATCCCCATCCCCGTTCCCACTCCCGCTCGGCGCGGGGGCCGCGGGCGGCTCAGCCTCCCCGGCTGCCGTTGCCTTGGTGCAGGCAGGGCCCGGGGGCGGCGGGCGGCGGGGGTGGGGGGCGCGGCGGCTCTGGGGGCAGCGCTGGCGTCAGCGGCAGCTTTGGGGTGGGCCGGGGTCCCCCCAGCGCGTCCCCGCGGCTCAGCCCCTCGGCCCCCGGGCAGGCGGTGCCCGGCGAGGTGTCCCCTCAGGATGGGTACGTGCTGCTGCTCGCCCTGCTCTCCATCTTCATCGGGGGCACCCTGGTGCTGCTCTCGGGCATCCTGATCATCTGCCGCCGCTGCTGCGAGGCCGACCGCCGGCACTCCAGGTGGGCAGGGGGTGGCCACGCCACTGTCCCCGGGGTGTGTGGCACCGCACGGAGGGTCGGGGGGGCTGGCCCGGCCGCCTCTGACCCTCCTCCCCCCGCAGAGCCAGCGATGACCCCGAGAAAACCAACACCACTTACCTGGATGACTCGCAGCAGGCGCAGGGTGAGTGACCCCAGTGCTGGGCTGATCCCCCCCAGCTGCATCCCGAGTTCTGGGGAGGGGGGTGAGGCAGCTCCTGGGCCCTCCCCTCCCGAGATGCAGTCCCCAACCCTCCAGCAGTGACCACCACACACCCCTTGTCCCTCCACTGTCCATCCCTGGCTGTGGAGCAGGGAATTCCAGGCTGCCATTGAGGCCATGAGTGCAACAAGTTTGCCAAGCCTCAGCTGGGGAAGCTGGGGTGCACACCACGGTGGGGGGAGCTGGTTGCTGACCCCCTTCTCTGCAGATATCACTGGCAAAGCGGAGGACCCCGAGTGCCTGTCGTCCTCCAGCTACCGGGATGCAGAGAGCGAGCGCTTCCTGTCCTCCAGCTCCTCCACTGCCCGGCGCGTCTCCTTCAACGAGGCCGCGCTCTTTGACCAGGGCAAGAAGACCCAGGAGAAGGGGAGGAGGTGAAGCTCTGGGCTGAGGGGGGCACAGGGGGTTGGGGCTGCCCCTCCTGACCCGGCTGTCCCACAGGTACACACTGACAGAGGGGGACTTCCACCACCTGAAGAACGCCCGCCTGACTCACCTGCACCTGCCGCCGCCTGCCCTCAAGATTGTCACCATCCACGAGTGCGAGTCCAGCGAGAACAGCCTGCCCATGACCCCCCGCCTGCCCCCGCCCAAGCCCGGTCTCGCCATCTTCCAGGTGAGCCCTCAGTGCCCGAGGGGGCACATGGGGCCAGGCACCCTGCAGCAGCCCAGGGAGGCACCGCTGGGCCCAGGGTGGGAGTCTCAGGGCATTGCCGGAAGTAGAGACAGAAGGTCTTAGGGTGCAGGGGCCCCTCCTTGTCCCCAGCCTTGTGCAGACCCCTGAGTATGTTCTGCTTTGCAGCCCCCTGCGGGGGCCCTGCCCCGGCCAGTGCTCCCCAGCCATGCCGTGGGCCCCAGCTCTGCCCTGCCCGGGGACACCTACAACTCCACCGTGGACACCAGCTTCACAGAGGCCAGCCCGTCCGCCTCCTCCGACTCCGGGGAGGGGCCTTCGGTGAGTGCTGGGGCGGCGGGGGCCGGGACTGGGCAGGGGAAGGGGCTCCCAGCCTGCACAGCCCCAAGAGTCCTGTCCTGCTCCCTCCCTGCTCCCCCCGATCCCATCCCTGCCCCCTCGCTCCGTGCCAGGGCTCAGGAAGAGACGTGGGCATCCAGCTAGAAACAGGCTCTGCCCCCCCTCGCCCCCACCTCGTCCCTGCCCCGGGGGACATTTGTGCATCTGCTGCAGCCCAGCTCTGCGGAGCGGACAAAGGAGCCGAGCGGGATGCGGGGGGGCTGGGGAGGCACGCTTGGGTCCGAGCAGGCACTCACGGCCCCCCCGTACCCCCAGTTCACAGCAGCACCCAGGAGTGGGAAGGCGGCTGGGGCGGGCAGCGCCGGCCCCGGGGAGCCCCCCCCGACCCCCCCCCAGGGGACCGTCCTGCAGTTCTTCACCCGCCTGCGTCGCCACGCCAGCCTGGACGGGGCCAGCCCCTACTTCAGGATCAAGAAGTGGAAGCTGGAGAGCACCCAGCGGGCGTCCAGCCTGGACACCAGAGGTGGGGGTCAGGGGGCAGCGCCGGGCTGTGCAGGGTGGGTGGCCGTGGGTGGGTGGGGGGCTGCTGGCGCCCGTTGGGTTGTCCCCCCAGCCTTGCCCTGCGCCCCCCAGGGTCCCCCAAGCGTCGGCAGTTTCAGAGGCAGCGGGCAGCCAGCGAGAGCATGGACCAGGAGGACCGGGACCCCCATCAGACCGACATCATCCAGTACATTGCCCACACGGACGACGTGTCCTTCCACCCCGCGGGGGGCCCCTTCCTGCCCTCCCCCGCCAGCCCCCCACCCTCTCTCGGCAGGTATTTTTCAGTAGATAAGAGGGGACGGGGATGGGTGAGCCGGGCGCCGGGAAGGCACCGAGGGACCCCGCGCTGCCCTGGGCACGGGGGCTCTGCGGCTCTGGTGGGGCAAACTGGCTCTGAGGGGGTCTGGGGGTGGCTGGTGAGGTTGGGCTGGGGCATGGGCACGGTGGTGGCAACAGCGTGGAGGACCAGGTGGCACCATGGCGCTGCTGTGGAGCCTGCAGGGGCTGGGCTGGCGCATCCCTGCCCGCTGCCTGCGCGGTCTGTCCCTGACACCGGGGTGGTGCCCGCAGGCTAGAGCCAGGCGAGGGGGGCGCGGGCAGCCCCGGCGAGCCCAGCGTGCCCGAGCAGCCCAGCGCCTACCACGACATCTGGAGCCTGCGCGCCTCGCTGGAGCTGTACGCGGCCTCGGAGCGCAGCAACGACCAGGACTCGGTGCGCAGCGACGGCGGCGACAGCGTCTCCTCCACCAGCGGCGTGCCCCCCTGCCCTTCCCCTTCCCTGGATGAGCCCGAAGGCCCCGAGGAGAAGTTCTGGGGTCGGCCCAAGGCGGAGGAGTCGGAGCCCGGCACTCGCAAGCTGCTGCAGATGGACAGCGGCTACGCCTCCATCGAGGCGCCCAGCCGGGGGGGCGAGGAGGGCCCCCCCAAGGACCAGACGGCCTCCGAGAAGCGCATTTGCTTCACCAGCGCCGGGCGGAAAGGAACCATCTTTGAGAGCTTTGAGGGCCGGGAGCCGGAGGAGGAGGAAGATGAGGAAGAGGAGGAGGGGGGGAGCACGACCCTGGGCGCAGCGGGTGGGGGACACCTCCGTCCCCACAGCCCCCTGGCCTGGTCCCCGTATGGGCAGATGTTCCCGGGGCGGGAGGGGCTGCCCCGGCGGGACTACAGCATCGACGAGAAGACGGACGCGCTGTTCAACGCCTTCGTGCGCCACGACCCCCAGTTCGACGAGTCCCCGCTGCGGGGCAAGCACCGCTCCCGCACCCACCTGCGCAAGCAGTGGCAGCACACGAAGCAGTTCAGCGACCCCGGCGTGCGGTACCCGGCGCTGGAGCGGCACCGGACGCCCCTGCGCCGCGGCGACAGTGCCAACTACCCGCTGGACTCCCGGTTCCACAGCCCCCTGCCCCGCATCGTCAGCGCCGGCGACGAGGAGGCGGCAGAGGCGAACGATGGGGTCCCCCCTGCCCCGGCGCTGCCGGACCCCGAGATCCAGGTGATCGTGGAGGAGCCCGGAGAGGCGGCCCCCGAGCCCAAGGCTGGCTCTGAGCCCCCCGAGGACGATGACTGCCCCGGCCCCGGGAGGTGCTTGGGGCTGGGCTCCGGCTCGGAGCTGATGGACAAGATCGCCGGCGGCCTGGAGGAGCGGCTCTACGGGCACCTGAGGAAGGCGGCGGAGAGAGAGACCCCCGAGTGCACGGTGGCCGTGGCGGCCAGTGACGCCTCCCCCGACCACAGCACGGTCTAGGGCCGGCAGGAGGGGGAGAGACCCCGCACAGGGGGGCTCGGCCCCCAGCGGGGCTCAGGGCTTCATCCCCTCCTGCTGCCGGCACGGGGTGCCCAGGGCGGGAAGGGGGTCCCGGCCCAGGCCAGGAGGGCACGGGGGGACCCCTGGCTGTAACCTCAGCCACGGGGGTCCCGTAGCGTGGGGTGGCCGAGCCCCCCGGCTCCCGGGAGCGAGGGCCTGGGCTGGGGGAGCCCCGGGGGTCGGGGCTCGGTGGAGAAGCCGAGCGATGGCCGGGGGTCAGCGCTGAGGGACTTGGTGAAGCCCTCACCCCGCTGAGCCCCCGCAGCACCTTCGCCCTCCCCTCTCTCCGAGGTTTTACAAGCAATAAGCCTCTCCTCCGGCCGGGAATGCGCCCAGGAAGGGGCCGGAGCTGGGTGTCCCCGCTCGGGGGACGCTGTGGTGCCACCCTGGCCAGGGTTTGGGGAGGGGCAGTCACCTCCTCAATCCCAAACCCACCGAGGTCTGCAGGGAGCCTGGGATCTGAACTGGAAGCAGGGGGCTTGGGCCAGGGGGATTCTAGAGGGGCTCAAGCTCCTCCTGGGGAGCCCCAGAATGGCAGCCCAAGGGCTGTGGGGGGAAGGATCGGCCCCGGGGACCCCAAAAATGCCCCCCGGAGGGGTGAGGGTGCCCGGTGCCTGCCCCTGGTGCTGCCCCCCTGCCCAGGGTACGGGGTGAGACCAGAGCAGGGCATCCCCAGCAGGTGCTGTGGGGGACCCCCAGTGCCCCCCAGGAGCTCAGGGGGGGCTCAAGGATATTTATTTTTACAGAGGCGGCTGCTGCTCCGGTGGGGGGGGAGGGCTGAGGGAGGTGTTCACTTTTTATTGGGTTTTTATTTGAGTTTCAAAGAACGGGTGAAAAAAAGAGAAAAAAAGAAACTGCCCCAGCCCAGCCCTGGCTGTGGCACCTGGGACTCGGCAGCGGGGGGGGGACAGGCAGGGCCCCCCCACACCCCCATTGCATGCGAGTAGAGGCCGGGTTGCCCCTTCCCTCTGTGCAGGCTCTGCCCAAAGCTCCCCCTCCATCACCTCTGCGTTTTTAAGTCTATAAACAAAGGAGAAAAACCAAAACCAACCGTGGCATCTCTGAGCTCTTTTCTTACCTTCTGCATCCCCTGGGATGGTGCCTGCTGTGGGGTGGGGTGGTGGGGGCAGGGGGGCTCTGGGCCTGGCATTGCCCCACAATTGTGGGTTTGCCTGGGGGGCTGTGCCCTTCCAAAAGGAAAAGGAGGAGGAGGGGCTGGTCATACCCCCGACCCCACCTGCTGCAGGAGGAAGGACATGAAACCCACCTGCTGTTTTCACTTTATTTTTCTTTAAAAAAAAAAAAAAAGAAAAAAAAAGGGGGAAGAAAAGCAAAAAAAAAAAAAGAAAAAAAAAAAGAAGAAAAAAAGCCAAGTGGCTGCCACCACCCTGATCCCTTTGGAGCCCAGATTCCTCCCAAGCTCTGAGCCCTTCCTGGGCCCTGTTCCCTTCCGAGCCCCTCCGAGCCCCCGTGCAGCATGCAGGTGTAATAGAGTTCTGTTTTGTTTTAATACCTGGTTTTTTTGGGTTTTTTTTTCCTCATCTGGTTTATTTTAACACATCACGATGTGTAGGAATCTCTAAATATACCGCAAATATAAACAAAACAAACAAACAAACAAACAAACAAAAAATAAAACAAAAAAAAAAGAGAGGAAAATATATAATATATAACAGTAGTCTAAAACATAAAGTGCACGGCAATGGCTTTGCACGACTCTACACGGCCGGGGGGCCTGGCAGGGGGGAGAGGGAGGGTCCCACCCCCCAGACCCCTCATCCCACCCTTCCCATCACAAAATTAAAAACAGAATCAGTGTCTTGATTGGCAAAGAGTGATCGGGGGGAAGGGGGCAGCGTCCTGGCAGCGGCAGAGTTCAACTCCCAGGTGTCTGGTGGGGAAGGTCTGGCCACTGCAGCTTCGTGTCCTGGCGCTGGCCGGAGCAGAGGGTGTGGGGAGGGGAGGGAAGGGGGGCTCCTTGGTTGGTTTCTTCTGGTTTCCTTTTGGATTGCAAGCACAGTCCAGTCCCAGGAGAGAGGCAGAGCTGGGGCAAGGAGGGGGACACAGGCTGGCCCAGGCCCAGGGACGCTGTGGGGAGAACAGAGAGAAGGGGGTTAGGGATGTCAGGGGCTGCCCAGTTTGGGGTGCTGGCTCTGCTCCTGCTCTGGGACTCTCTCTGGCATCCTGGGATGGGAGTGAGGGGCTGGGATCCCTGTGCTGTCCCTGGAAGGTTTTAGGGGCTCCCACAGCACGTGGTCCCCCAGCCAGGTGAGCCCAGGCGCCAAGAAATGTCATTTATGGCAAGAAGAGGAGCATTCCCTTCCTTCAAAAGGTTTCTAAGGGGGGAAATGACCCAGCTTCCCCTTGCAGCAGCAGCTGAGCAGGAAGGGGCAGGAGCAGCAGCAGGTCCAGGGGAGCCCCATCCCAGGCTCTGGGGAGCCCCATCCCAGGCTCCGGCTGCACCGACTCCCCGCAGGTGACTCACTGCCCCCATGAATTAAAGATGGAGCTGCCACGGGCCTCTGACAGCTGCAGGGGGAGGATCCGGCTTTTATTTCGGGCTTTTTTCACACCACAAAGCTGGTCGTGATCCAGGAGATAACAGAGCTCAGCCCCAGCAGCGCCGTGACGAGCATGAGGCCGGGGGCGGATGAGGCTGAACATGAGTCACTGCTGGCTCCGTTATGAATGAGGGGTGGGAAGGAGGGGACAGGGCTTGGAGCTGGGGAGGAAGGAGCCGGAAGGAGGGGGGGAAGCAGGGAGTGGGCTCAGCTTCCCCTGGAAGTGGCCTGGCCATGGCGACAGGGCCACCTCCTGGGCCAGGGGGACACCCTGGGGCTCAGCATCCCTCTGTGCTCCCCGAGTCCAGGTGAGGCTGGGAGCAGGGCAGAGGGACCCAGGTGCCAGGGAAAGGGGGTGACATGGCACAGCTTAGCCACAGCCCAGGAGGGGAGAGAGATCACTACAGCACCTTCCACATGGCAGGGCAGACTAGAGCAGAGCCAGGTGGGCACAGCAGGGAATGGGGGGGGGCTCCCCTGTGCTCTGCACCCCCAGCACCACAGGAGATCCAGGCTCTGGCTGCCTGGGGATGCTCAGGATCCAGACTACAAAACACCCCCCAACTCCCTCCCCCTGCCCATGGCTGGGGCAGGCTCTGATGTCCCCCCGCTCCCTCGGGCAGACCCCGGCGTGTACCTGGGCAGAGCTCACTGCTGCTTGCAGGTGGAGAGCTTGCGGATCTTGCTGCTGGCAGAGCAGGCCTTGCGGGAGGGGTTGGAGGAGGCGCTGGCCCGGCGCTCGCCCTTGGCCCTGGCGCTCAGCTGCCCCGGCTCCGTGCCGTTCATGCACACGGCCTTGGGCAGCCCCCTGCCGCGGCTCTGCCCGTTCTGCCCGGCCTCCTCCTCAGGCACCTGTCCTGCAAGGGAACGGCCACGGTCAGGGGTGCCAGCAGGCCCTTCCCAAGGCTCTGCATGGATCCTACAGACCCTTCCCAGGGCCCTGCATGGATCCTGCAGACCCTTCCCAGGGCCCGGCATGGATCCCGCAGACCCTTCAGGCCCGGCATGGATCCTGCAGACCCTTCCCAGGGCCCGGCATGGATCCCGCAGACCCTTCCCAGGGCTCTGCATGGATCCTGCAGACCCTTCCCAGGGTCCGGCATGGATCCCACAGACCCTTCCCAGGGCCTGGCATGGATCCTACAGACCCTTCCCAGGGCCCGGCATGGATCCCGCAGACCCTTCCCAGGGCTCTGCATGGATCCTACAGACCCTTCCCAGGGCCCTGCATGGATCCCGCAGACCCTTCCCAGGGCCCGGCATGGATCCTGCTCCTGTGGAAATCCCAGCCTGTTCCTGCACCTGCAGGAGAGGGATCCCCGAGCTGGGATGTGCAAGCCTGGGAGGACTGCACCTCCCTCCTTGCTCCCCTCAAGCACTGGTTTGTCCCCCGTTGCTGCCACAGTGTCCCCTCCTCCCTGGACTGCCCTGCCCCAGACCTCAGGCAGCAGCCCAGCCCCTCTGAGGGGCAGCAGTGGATGAAGTCACCCCTCTTCCTCCTGCCTCTCTGCAGGTCCCAGCCCCAGGTACCATCCTGGGGGTACCCGGGGGCTGGGTGTGCTTGCAGAACAGGGCAGCACAGCCTCTCCTGGCAGGGCTGGGGCTCGGCTGTGTCACTGTCCCCTGAGGGAACACGCCATGGGTGTCATCAGCCCTTCTCCCTCCTCAGCTCCTTGTGACTCAGCAGAGCAGGTGAAGAGCCATTTCCAGAGGCACCTCCTGCTGCCACAGCCGGGGCTTGGGTCACGTCCCCTCACTCGGGGAGTGACAGAGGGATGTGGCTGCATCCCGGGGTGCTCCCAGCGGGGACAGCACAGCCCCCAGCCCAACTCAGGGCGAGGAGAGGCTTCGTCAGGCTCCTGGCTCCCCCCCACCGGATCCAGCCCAGGCAATTTCCTTCCAGCAGGAACGTCACGCTCCAGGGCCCTTCAGTTATGACTCAGAGGTTTGAGTGGAAGCAAAGGCTGTAAGACGATTATGTATAATTTTCTTTAAAGGATGCTCAATCCTTTCTCTGCCAAGGCCGGGCGGGACGTCAGCTCCGCTTGCGCCAACCATCACCCCACTGCTGGAGCTGGGGGGGACACAGGGCTGCTGGGGGAGCTGCTTCTCCCCTGGGGGAGCACAGTGGGGGTCCCACCTCGGACCCCTGTGCCTTGCCACATCATCCCTGGCCACTGCCAGAGGTGGGGAGGGAGGGGTGGGTGTATCCTGGGTTACACATGCCATCAGTTTCCTCCTGGATCTCCCCCTGTATCCCCCCCAGTGGCTCCCAGCTCCCAGTCACTGGCTGGGGGCTGCTTACCTGAGCACTCCTGCCACGAGAACAGACAGGGACTGACTGAGCAGGGACAGTTCCTGGCTCCTGGCACCCAACCCTGGCTCTGCTGGAGCTGGTGGCACCTGCAGTGCCCAGCCTGCTACTCCAGAGCAGCACAGCTCCTGGCCCAGCCCAGCTCACCACAAGGGATTGTAGTGATGGGGGTGCTCTGGCACCCCCCAGGGCATGTGCCAGTGCCCCTGGCACTCTGGCAGTGACTGGCACAGCAGGAGGCTCAGGAGCACAAAGCTCACAGCCCTGCTTATGGATTCCTCCATGCCTGACCCCTCTGGAGGGGTGATGCCTGGAAAGGGCTCAGGGGTCCAAGTTCTAGAAGAGACACACAGGTCCCAGAGCCTCCAGGCATGGGCATTCCAAGGATCAGGCTGCAGCCCCAGCCCAGCCCAGCCTGGCTGCAGCACCCCAAAGCTCCAGGTTTTCCATGCCATCCCTCCATCCCACCAGCACAACTGCAGAGCCTCAAACAACCCCATTCAGAGCAAAGCTGAGCACTTCTTCCCCTCCCTCGGCTGAACTCGGGCCAAGTCAATTAACATTTCTGACTGGGGAGGGAAAAAGAATCTATCCAAACAGCTCACTTGTCTTTTGTGTGACTCTTCCCTCCTCCCCTCCTTCCCTGCTTCAAAAGCACAGTCCCGGGAGTCTATTATGGATATCAAGGAGGGAGGTGAATCGTGAGCTAATTTTACCTCCTTCACCAATGACAGTTGCTGACGTTCAAATTAATGAAAATAAAAATTCAGCACGGGCTGAAGTCTTGGCAACTGCTGCCCCCGCGGAACCGCTGACCCAGCGCCGTGTCTGCCCGAGCAGCTCCTGCCCACCTCACCCTCACCACGAGCAGGCTAAAAATAATATAAATAAAGGCAGAGCTGAGAGAGGAACCAGCAACGTGGCTGGCTCATCCCTGCTCATCTCTGCCACCCCTCACATTCTTAATGGCTCCGCATCCAGCTCATTCAGGCACCAAAAAAGGTTTCAAAATAACACCGCAAAGAGCCTTTGAATGGCTGTTTGTCAGACTGAGCACACAGGCACCGTGAGCAGCCAGGAATGCAGCTCCCCGAGCACCAGGCTTGGCTCAGAAGCTCCAGTCCTGGCTGTATTTTCCAGCCTCAGACTGAAAAACCCAGGAGCAGGTGCTGCAGGATGGGGCTGCAGCAGAGGAGGGGTTAATGAAGGACAGGAAAGAGCAGAGCTCAGCCTCTAGACCTGAGGCAGCACAAAAGCACCAAGCAAGACCAGGATGATCACATCCCTTCACTGCACAAGAGCAGGGAGAGGATTCTGCCTCCAGGCCACAGCCATCCTCTCCTCCATCCTCTCCTAGCACTTCCCTGGATGGGATGTTTAACACCGATTGAACCAAGGGCTTGGAACATTTACATCTCCCCACAGAGCTGCATGAATCTTTAAATAACCCTTTAAAAATGAAAGCACTTCCTCAAAGCCCCTTCTTCCTCTGAAGAACACAGGATTTAATGAGGTTTCCTCTTTCCCCCCCTCAAACCCAACACCCACCCCCACCCATGAGTCACTCACACTCCTGCTCTGGCTGCCCAGCAGAGCCACAGCTGAGCTGATCCCCCATGAGCACGGGGGCTTTTCATTCATATTTTAATATGGGATCACTGCTAGAAATGCAGCAGGTTCAAAGGGATGCTGCAGGAAGACTTTGGTGGAAAAATTCACATTTATTCCCTCTGCAGCTGCCCCCACCTCTGCAATGCCCCACA